GAGACCAGTTAGAGTCCAGCTGACCTTGGACACGCCATTTGATCTCTCTGACCCTCAGTTTCCTCGTTTGTAAAATGGGGATAAGAAAACCCACTTCTAGACTTCTGAGAATTAAGTGATATAATAGCTTTACTGCACCCAATACAAAATAGTTTCCCATTCAATATAGTTCAATGTTTTCCCTCCTTTCTAGGTGAGGAACTCCCCAAGACTCCCACATGTGTTTCATTCTTCTTTTGTAACATAAACTTTGATGGTCTTTGATATTAAAATTCTGAGGCATTATTAATTGATTGCATGAGGAGTCCAGAAACACCCCCTGCCAATTATGCTGAAATACCATACAGAATGGACTCATGTTATGGCAGCATATTGAGGGTTTTCTTCTGCTGGGAGGTTACCTCCTTTGAAAACATGGTCTGCTGTCCTGAAGACAGAGGCCATAAGTACAAAGTGGACCATATCTCAAGGATAAGACTGTTGCTGACCATCTTGGACAGCTGTGGGGTGGATGATCGTAAAAGCCTATTGCTCTCTGGAAAAAAATCCCTGCCCTTCACAATGGGCGGATCTACCACCTAAACTACTGCCAATCTGCAAACTGAGAGCAGCTGCCACATTATAACAACTGCTGTGTCTAAAGATACACATGATCTTATTTCTAGACAAATGCAAGCATGTTTCAAATGGTGGGCTTTTTCTTGTAAGACTGCTTTATTTTTTTTTCGAAGATAACTTCAGATTCTTATTAAGATTCTTTTATCCCCATGCTGACCAACTGCCAAAAACAAACAACCAAAAAGACTGCTTTAAATGTATTTCATGGAAATTGTAATGATTGGTTGGAGATTGTTTTTATTTTTCCTTTTTTCCCAATGTAGACAGTTAAAGTACAATTTTTGAAAAGATAAACTGATGACTCTCATGCAAATATAAAATGAATTAATGTCAAAGACTTTAATCAACTGATTAATTAATGAGAGAACCAATACAGTGTTAAAACCAGATTAAAGATCATTGAGGAGGTAGATGTTTATAGGCAATTTAATTAAGGAATATGAGGATATGATTACAGGGCTACATAAGAAACTGGTGTAAGTCCTACAAGGTAATAAACTGTAACCTTCCAGATTATTTTTTCCGACTGAACAGACATTATTTGCCTCTTTAACTGGAAACAAAATCTACAAAGTCACCCGTAACTTCACTAATTCTTGACCATTACTCAATAAGATTCTAAAACTTCATTCCCTCCAATGCCTCATCTCTGCTGGATTCTCCAAGCTGAGCTCCAACATTCCCGTGGAACCCACCCACAACACATTCAAGGGATGGTGATTCAGTGAGCAGAGCAGCCAGGCTTTGAGGTCCATCTTCTGGACATCTCAGTCATCGTTCTTACCAAAGGTCACCCAAAAGGGTGGACAGACGGTCAAGGAAAGCTTCCTTCTTACCATACTCTAGACAGAAATAGGAGCTGTCGTCTTGGTGCTGTGTGGCTTTTTTTTTTTTTTTTTTTTTTTTTTTTCTTGTGTGACTTTTTTGCCTCCTGAAGACTTGAAAATAGAGACTTTACATTACTCACCCCTACCCATCCATTAACCCCACAAGTAGCTGAAGAACACCTGCCATGTGCTAGACCCAGGGAAGTTGTGGAGAACAAGGACAGGGTGGTCCCTGCTCTCCTGGAGCTTATGTTCAGTGGAGAGACGGACACTGCAGCAGTGATTGCCCACTTCATGAATCAAACACAAATGTGATAAGTACTGACGTGGAATAGTGCTGAGCAAAAAAATGGGGAGACCTAGTTTGGTCTGGAGGAGGGTGTCACAGGACCTTTTTCTAAAGAAATAACATTTAAGAGAAATTTGGGAGGATGTGTGGGATTTCACTGGGTGAATAACTGCTGACTGTTTTGGGATAGAGGAAAGAGAATGTGTGAAGGACTTGAGCCCTCAAAAAGGGTGTTGCTTTGGGGCATTGGTGAGGAAGTGACACCCAAGAGGCTGGACACATGGGCAGGAGCAAAATCACACAGGGCCTTGAAGGTCTGGGCAGAGTTTGGGCTTTATTTGGAGGGTAATGGGGAGCCATCGAAAGGTGGTAGAGAAGAGAGCGGCATAATCAAAATCAATCTTTCTGGAAACTCAAGCACTGGGATAATGCTGTACATAGTAAACATGTAATAACTGCTTGCTAAATTTTCAAAGGAACGAGTGGCTGACCAAGGCAACACTTGGTGGGAAGCCTGACACCGAGAAGGGCAGTCAATGTCTATTAGCTGTAACTCAGTTCACCACCTTTCGGTTTAACCTGGTAAAGTCACTGCACTCAGATGAGGGATAACATCAGATCCTTCCTCTCAGTCACGGATTTCTGGTGCACCAGGGAGGAGGGAGGAAATCTCTACAGGCAGGACTGCTTCTCACAATACAGGTGCCCGTAACTTTCTAGAACTGTTTTCCTTTTTAAAAACAAAATGAGTTAGGGCCAGCCCGTGGCTCACTTGGGAGAGTGTGGTGCTGATAACACCAAGGCTACAGGTTCGGATTCCTACATAGGGATGGCTGGTTAGTTCACTTCGGAGAGCGTGATGCTGACAACACCAAGTCAAGGGTTGAGATCCCCTTACTGGTCATCTTTTAAAAAAATAAATTTTAAAAAATGAGTTAAAAGTGGGGTGCAACAGGGAAGCAACACAACTCCCAAGATGCATTCAAGTTATCTGCTCAGTGGCAGGAATGCTGTAGCCAATTCTGCATTTTGAGTAGTTTGGGTGTTTCTAAAAATGTGTTAAGAAACATTTCTAGTTTCCTTGACAAAAATTTTAAAACAAATGTACCATTCAACAAACAGCTAATGCACAGGGTAGATTCGGGTGCCAGGAACAGAGCGGCCTCATTTGCGGTTGGCAGTTGGAAGTGTCAACTGACTGGAACCTCCTGGAGGATGATATGACCACGTGGGAGAGCCCGAATGGGTTTCAACCTGCCGCTTTCCACAGAGAAGTTTATTTGTGGAAATAAATAAGGGAAGTTGCAAATATTTAGCTATAAAGATGATAATTTCAGCATTGTTTGTAATGGCTAAAAACTGAAATTAGTCCAGAACCAGAGGACAAATATGATTTATCCATGCAGTGGAAAACCATGTCACTATTTAAAAGGATACTGAAGAAAACTGCTTATTGACATGGAAAGATTTTCACAACCTATTTTTAAGTAAAAAAAAAGCAGATTATAAAACAATGTATATTGTATTATTAAGTTTTAAAATATAAATAACTATGACTCGAGATATGTATATGAACAAATGTGTACAAGGAAAGATCTGGAAAGACAAAAACCAAAGGACTAACAGTGGCTACCTGCAGTGGTGGCACTGCAGGCATTTTTATTTTCTTCTTTTTGCTTATTATTTTATACTCTTTCTTTAATGAACATTTGTTGCTTTTGTAGTAAGAAAAAAGGCTTTATTTACAAAACATGTTCATGGTCTCCTAGGATCTCAGCTACAGTAGCTTTATGGGGGACTTTCAATCTCTCTTTGCCCACATGCGGGATCTAATTGTTCTTATGCTTCTTAGACATATATGTAGTGGTGTTTTCCTAAATCCACACAGACCTCCTTGTCTGTGTAAGACAAGCATTTATCAGCACTGGCAGTCCAATTCCATTTTTGTAACAAAGAATTTGTTATGCAGACAATTCTCAGCAAATGCAATGGGCCTGATGCTGGGGACAGAGCAGCAAAGAAACCACATGTGGGCCCAGCAGTCATAGAATTTCCAATCCAATTCAGAAGAAAAATAGCAACAATCAGACAAATAACAATATAAGTGTACTTCAAAAAATTTGTGGAGGGCCGGCCTGGTGGCGCACTGCTACAGTGCGCCGCTTGGGAAGTGCGGCAGCGCTCCCGCCGAGGGTTCGGATCCCACATACAGACCGGCCGCTCACTGGCTGAGCGAGGTGCGGGGGCAACACCGAGGGTTGCGATCTCGTTGCCGGTCCCGGTCCGGTACGGGCGCGACACTGAGGGTTGCGATCCGTTGCCGGTCACGAAAAAAGACAAAAAAGGAAAAAAAAAAAAAAAGTTCATGGAAAAATAGAATTTAAAAGTAATATGAATCTTTCCATGAACTTTTTGAAGTACCCTTGTATAATAATTATAACAGTAACAGCCAACCTTTTCTGAGCTCTTACTAAATGCCAGACACTGTTAAATTCTATATATATTTATTTATTTCTCACAATAACCCCATGAGGCGGGTGTTACTATTATTCCTATTTTACAGGTGAGGAAACTGAGACTCAGAGAAGGTAGCTTATTTACTCAAGGGTACACAGCTGGGAATTTCAACCCAACAATGGCTATGCTGCACTCAACTACATAACTACCAGGGTCTTATTTTCCATAAATTAAAACAGGGCCATGAGAGCATATTAAGGTGACCCAAACTGGTCTCAGGTGCAGGTAAGATTTCCCTGAGGATGTGACGTTTAACCTGAAACCCCCAAAATTGGAAGAAATAAATCAGGCTAAGAGCAGGAACAAGAGCCTCTAGGGCAGGAGAAATAAAATAAATTAGCAGTTAGGAATTTGCACTAAAGGGCTGGCCCGTGGCTCACTCAGGAGAGTGCAGTGCTGATAACACCAAGGTCATGGGTTTGGATCCCTATATAGGGATGGCCGGTTAGCTCACTTGGGAGAGCGTGGTGCTGACAACACCAAGTCAAGGGTTAAGATCCCCTTTCCAGTCATCTTTTGAAGAAAAAAAAAAAAAAAAAGAAATTTGCACTAAGGCTTTCCTCTCTTCTGTTTTTGGTGGTTGGCCGGTATAGAGATTCAAACTCTTGACCTGGGAGTTATCAGCACTATGCGCTAACTGAGTGAGCTAACCGGCCAGCCCTGCAGTCAAGTTTCTAAGTGAGTGATATTGGTGAACTGGTCATTGGCGATGGTAATCACAGCAAATTCTCTTCTCCCCCGACCTTCAGACACTCTTGGCCAGGGCACTTTATGACAACCGCCCTGACTGCTCCGACGAGCTGGCTTTCTGCAGAGGGGACATCCTGACCATTCTGGAGCAAAACGTGCCAGAGAGCGAGGGCTGGTGGAAGTGTTTGCTTCATGGGAAGCAAGGCCTGGCCCCTGCCAACCGCCTCCAAATCCTCATGGAGGCCCCCGCAGATGGGCCATGTGCCTCATTCCTGAGAGGCCTGGAAGAAGCTATCACCAGCCCAGAGGAGACCTACCAGGTGCCCACCCTGCTCCACCCTCCATCCCCAGGCCCTGTATATGAGCAGATGAAGAGCTGGGTGGAAGGGACCCCGCCAGCCACTGCCCAAGTCTACAAATTCTCTGACCCACCCAGCAGTGCCAGAATCATCTGTGAAAAGACTCTAAGTTTTCCAAAACAGGTAAGCATGTTTCCAAACAAAAGGCATCGGCCAATGGGTATAGAAACACCCAGGGGCTTAACTACCCCTGGAGTCATTGCTGTCCATCAGATCAGATGTGCAAAATGAGAACCCAGGTCATTGGTGACCGTGGTTGGGGAGCTTCTGTGCTTGGCTGGGACAGAGAGCCTGCAGCCCCCCCCTCCCTGGTCACTCATTCTCCTGGTACTTCTGTGACTCCCCAGATCTCCAAGACTGGCCACACTTGGTGGTAAACAGAATGCTTAGTCAAGCTGTGCACAAAAACATCAGGGATATTCATGGTGATCTCCTTGCTCCAGCAAGGGACCCTAGGACAACTAGTGATAAATGGCAGGATTGAATTTCCCTGGGTTTGAAGGCAAGAAGTTACTTATCACATTTATAATATATATTCTGTGTTGGTTAGAGCGCAGTGTTATAACACCAAGGTCAAGGGTTCGGATCTCCAGACCAGCTAGTGGCTAAAAAAATAAAATAATTTACTAAAATAAAATAAAATGTATATTCCCTTCAACTTGGAAATTTTACTTCTAGAATTCCTATTGAAATACACAACAAAAGACAAATACAAGGGGTCTTCAAAATGTTCATGGAAGGATTCATATTATCTTTTAATTCAATTTTTCCATAAACTTTTTGAAGTACCCTTGTGTGTATCTGGATAAGGAGACCATGGCCATTACAGCATCATTTGTGACAGGGAAAAAACAACGATGCCTGACTGTCTGCTGATGGGAGGGTTAGTTACACAAAAGATGTATCACCGTGATGAACTACGGTGCAGCTGTAAAAAATGATGAGGCATTTCTAGGAGGTATTTGTAAGGGGGGAGAAAAGGTCGTTTAAACAAAAGCCAAGCAAACAACTAAAAAAAAAAATTGCGTGTATGTGTGTGTGCATGCCCACACAGAGAAAAGACCTAGAGTGGCTGCCCCCAGGAAGTGGAATTGGTTAAAGAGAAAGTGAAAGAAGGCAGCAAGCAGGGACTGTCATTGTATTCTCTCCTCTGTCCCCAGCACAAGGGCCAGCCTGGCATGGGGTAGGTGCTTAGTAATTATTTAATGAGCAAATAGACTAGGAAGTTGATTTGTGTGTTTTATATATGTGGGGGGGGGGGGTTGTGTGTCGTATAACTTCGTATAATGTATGCTATACGAAGTTATGCATTTGTGTGTTTTATATATGTGGGGGGGGGGGGTTGTGTGTGTGTGTGCTGGCTGGTACAGGGATCCAAACCCTTGACCTTGGTGTTTTCAGCACCACACTCTCACCAAGTGATCTAACGGGCCAGCCTCTTTATTGAATATGTATGACATCTGTAATATTTAAATTTACCAATTTAAAAAAAACAGAGGAAAAGAAACAGTCAGTAAATGCAGAATGAAAACATTTTTTATAAATAAGAAAGAGAATTAAAAGAGGAAAAGAGAAAATCAGTGTACTGTTTTCCCCAAAGCCCTGGCCTTCATGAGCTGTTGGGAACACAGAGCAGATGTGCACAGTCTTCAGCCACTGCGGGCATTTCCTGCCATCAGACGCTTTGCTTTCAGCTCAGATGAAATATCCCACCTGGCCACAGCTCTGGCAGAGGTTGTGGCAAGGCCTGTATCCAGGGAAAGGTTGCTCCCCCTGATGTATGTGCAGTGGGGGCCCTGGGAACATGCCTCTCACCACTCAGGCCTCGCCCACGCCAGCTTCCAATGCTGCTTTCCAATGGGAAGGTGCTGGTGCCTTTAAAGATTTTGAATACTTTAAGGGGATGGCCGTGGCTCACTTGGGAGAGTGTGGTGCTGATAACACCAAGGCCATGGGTTCAGATCCCTATATAGGGATGGCCGGTTAGCTCACTTGGGAGAGTGTGGTACTGACAACACCAAGTCAAGGGTTAAGATCCCCTTACCAGTCATCTTTAAAAAACAAACAAACAAAAAAAAGATTTTGAATACTTTAGATTCTCTAACTCCCTGGGCTGCAAGGCATAGAACCAAACAGTTGTTACACAGAACAGCTGCCATACACAGACGCTGACTATAAACACCAGGAGCAAGCTGGTCAAGCCTTCGGAAGCAGTGCATGGGGTGGATCCAGCTTGCTTTTCTGGAACAGCTGGCCCAGATCTAGGCCGGCATGCTCAGCTGCCATCTGAGCAGCTGACTCAGAGCAGGGCCATGATGGTGTTTCTTCTAAGAACAAGTGACATTAGGAGAAGTGAATTTGAATTTCTTTGCAAAGCCACTAAAGAAACAAAATCCACGGTCATTCCCCTCTTCTTCCTAAAAGGAAAGATTCAATGTCTGCTGTTGGCCAGGTGTGCCCAGCACCCAACACACTACCAGCCTCCTACAAGATACTCAAGACACATTTGTGGGATGGTTGAAGCAGCCACATACAACATGAGTCTTCAGAATCATGCACTCCACTGTCAACTTCTAGACTGACATTGGTGTGAAAGATGAGTTTACTGTTGAAACTTAACTAGGAACAATGGTCAGGGAGTTAGCTATAAGATTTTCCTGGACATGAAAAATGTTAATCACCGGAGCCCTCATTGGGCAGGCTACAGCAACCAACAAGAACCACAGTGACCAAAGGGGAATTCAGGGCCTCTTCACCACCCAGTAGGGTTCTTTAGGTACCACAGGAAAACACCTGGGGAGCTTTCCTGCCTTTTTTTCTTCCTTAAGTTCCCTCCATGTCTGCCCCATCTGCATTTTTGCTCCTGCCCTGCCGCCCCTCCTTTTTTTTTTTTTTTTTTTTTTTTCTTTGCTGTGCTTGAGGTCTCCCAAAGTGAGAGATGCAGTCTGTGGCTTAGAAGTCAGGAGTCCTGGGGCCGGCCCGGTGGCGCACTGCTACAGTGAGCCGCTTGGGAGCGTGGCGGCGCTCCCGCTGAGGGTTCGGATCCCACATACAGACCGGTTCCCGCTCACTGGCTGAGTGAGGTGCGGGCGCAACACCGAGGATTGCGATCCCGTTTCCGGTCCCGGTCCGGTACGGGCGCGACACTGAGGGTTGCAATCCGTTGCCAGTCACGAAAAAAAGACAAAAAGGAAAAAAAAAAAAAAAAAAGAAGTCAGGAGTCCTGGCTCACTTGGATTCTGGGCAGCCACTGTTGCACTGGGTCATGGGGAACATCACAACACCTCTGAGTTTCTCTTTCCTCCTCTGTCTCATGAGAGCATTGGACCTGATCATTTCTAAGGTCACCTCCAGTTGTACTTCTTGGTGATTCTAAATCATTTCTCCTCTTCCTCTACTCTAAGAAGGAAGGATCTAGAGTAGTTAATAATCAGTTAGGAATTCTCTGATCCACAGAAAAGATAGGCATCTCCTCCCCAGTCATGTAATTTAGAATTTAACCCAGAGTCTAAGGCTGCCCAGGAGTTACATTCTGAGAAGAATGGTCACTGGCAGAACCAGGCAAGTCCAAAGCAGCAGCTATGAACTGTTTTCCAATGGCAAGTTCATGGGCTTGGAACATGGCCTGGGCGAGTCATTTCACAAACTCCCTTTTATACTTGTGTAGACTATCTCCAGATTAAGGGTAGCCCCAAATTAAAAACCAAGAAAGTGAAAACATGTCACTTTTCTCAAGTCGTCCTAAGAGAGGCATCTGTGTGTCAGAATCAGACATCTCTACAGGTTAGGAGATCACTGTGGACCTCTAGATTAAAACAACTCTTCATTTTAGGGTTGAGGAAGCTGATTCCCAGGGAGGTGAAATTGCCCATCCAGGGTCACGTGTGCACCCTCGACTGCCAGTGCCCCAGAGGCTGAGCCCTTACCCCAACCATCTCACAGGCCTTTGATCTCCTTCCACCTGACTCTGGCTGAAACTGTTCTTTCCAATGAACTTTTTATTGAAGTCTCACCTGCAGATCCTGAGGGTTCCATTCAGTCTCTAGTATTCAGATCAGCAGAACAAAACTAGCACCCAGAAACCCCCTGTGCCTGCTCCCTGTCACTTCCCCCGAGGGTAACCACTATCTTGAGCTTTAGCTTTTTATTCCAACTTCCTTAATATAATATGCTGGCCTGATTTAAAAAAATGAAACAAAGCAAAGCAAACAAAACAAAACATATAAAGAACATATTTGATTTCTTCAGTTTAAATTCAGAGAGGGGACTCTTGTAATTCGAGTAAAAAGGGCCAGATTTCCTTGTGAAATTGCTCTTGGACCACTAGTTCCTGAACTGAAATTTCCTTCTGTCTTTCTAAACCTTTTGAAACTATGTTTCTCAAAAGTGTTCCTTAATTGATTGCTATCTTGAGCCTACATTTTCCAAGAAAACACTGAGCATTTTTGAACTGGCTTCCTTCCATCTGAAATATCACACACAGGAAAGTCCCTTTGCTCTCTGAAGGTGCTCTTATAGGCATCTGCAGCCCACAAAGTAGCCATTTCAATAAACAGGCCTGAAGTCACAGGGAGTGATGAGTGATAGAGCAGCATTTGGAAGGGCCTGCAGTGGGAAGAGAGCTTGGTGTGTTCAAATAAGTGAAGACAGGGAGGGGAGAAGCAGAGGTGATGGCCGATGGTTGGGGACATTCATGCATGGTCCCTGGATGAATGGCACATGGCTTGTTAGTCCTGGTAAGAAGCTTGAATTTACTTCAAAATGCAGTAGGGACCATTGATGAGTTTGTCCTAAACCAATAAGCCTAAGACCACCAGGGACAAAGTCTGGTTTATTGAGTGTAATAAACAAGATCACAGAGTGAAGGAGCCACAGGGCACCTCACAACAGAGGAAAATGTAGCCCAATCATGGGATTGGGGGAAAGGTAGGCTTTAGGTAAAATGTAAACAAGCAGTGTCTTGATGGGCTCTATGCAAAACAGAGCAGCATGTAAAGGGGTCAGCATCAGCCCAGGCTACAAGGTGGATACAGGCTGTCCTTGGGAAACGCAACATTGAGATAGAGGTAGAATATTGTGCCTGGATATGCCTTAGCTGAAGTTCTGCACAGATCCCCCGGGCAAAGATGGGATGTTTCCTTCTAACTGATAGCACTTCAGACAGCAGTGCTTCTGAGAGCCTAGGATTTTAGAGAACCAAGTTTCTCGGGGAGTAAGAAGGGGGCTGTTCTTACACCTGACAGCTGCAGTGGGTCTTTGGGAGAAATGAGTCCTGTTTGCTTTGCAGCTGCTAATCTGTGTCTGTGATTGCAGCCTGATGAATGACTGTGGACTTTTACACTCCATGCTCATTTTTACTGTCCCAAGCTGTACCCATTCATTCGCCCAAACAAACACATAAATACTAGTACTTATCACACACCAGCCCCAGCTGGGTCCTGGGGACACCATGATGAATGCAGGGACCCTGACCTAGTCTTTGAAAGCTGCTCCTCCACCTGGATTGTCCTCCTTCATCCCACCTATTTAAATCCTAACCACCTCATGATCCAACTTGCAACATGCCTTGGGACCCCAGTGGGAAGTACACTCTCCCTCTCCTGGACACTCTGTAACTTCACGTTTTTCTCTCATCCCAGCCCCGCCCAAGCTTCCCTGCTTGTGTCCTAGGTGTGCCCATACCTTATTCCTCCTTAGACTTTAACTCCTGGCAGACAGCATCCACTACCCTATAAAAAATCACCCATTCCCAGGTCCTTCCTGTGATGTTCTGGTTCAAGAGGCCTGAGGCAGGATCCCTGGCAACTATATTATTCTAAAATTCACCTGGGATTCAGATCCCTGGCTGGAGCTGGAAGCTGCCGCTCAGTGGCACTTGGGGAGGTTCTGGCACAGAGTTGACATCAACGATCTCTAGAGGATGAACTCAAATCCAAAGTTCCCATTTATAGGCACTGACCCCATGGCTGAGAGGGAGTATGTTTTCCAAAATGACATGAACAATAACTGACCAAGTGCCCTTAATAAAATACAGATCTGATTGGAAATCCAAACTCCTTAACTGACCTGTTCCCTGTTAACGTTTCCGACCCCACCTCTCTCCTCCCCTCACTTCCCTGACTCGATCACTTTCAGTTGCTCCGAGTCGCCAGGTTCTCTTCTGCCTCCTGCCAGAGTCAGTGAAAGCTGCCAGTGCGATTCAGCTGGTCGCCTCCTCCTCCCCTTTCAGCTCTCAGCCCAAGTGACACATCCTTAGACAAGCCTCATCTCAAAGGCCCCTCTGCTTGTCTCAGTCAGTGCTACACCCTCAGCACTGTTAGATGAACATGTGACTAACCCAGTATTAGTTTCACAGCCTCCTGATCCCTAGAGAGCATCAGAATCACCTGGCAAGTTGTCTATACTGCAGGTTCCCGGGCCCTCTCAGTACACAGAGACTCAGTACAACAGACATAGGGCCCAGGAATCTGCATTTTAACCTGCTTCCCAGGTGAGGCTGATGTGAAGTGAGAGAGACTGCCCTCCATCCTAGAACTCCTGCCAGTGTCCTGCTGCTCCCAGTCTTGAGAGTGACGGGCCTGCGTGTTAGTGGTGCCCGGCAATCACCTCAGCCATGTCCTCCAGGCTGTCTTTGTTGTCTGAGAGATAACTTTGAACACGATCGTGATCATCAGTGTGATGTTTCCTTTCCCATGGTTCTCTTCTTTTTCTCTCTAAGGCCCTCTTCACGCTCCCCAGACCTGCTCGGGCCTCGTTGCCGACTCTGCCTTCCCAGGTGTATGACGTGCCTGCCCAGAGCCGGGTTCCCTCGGCCCTGAAGGTGAGCCTCGTTCGGTGGTCCCAATCCACCCAGACCTGTGTGCCCCGAGTCTGGAGTTCTCAGTGTCACACAGACATTGCATTTGAGCTTCCACACTACCTCCAAATTGAACATTATCACTCAGAGGCCAGCTCTGTAACCACCTTTGTGCCCGTGGAGCCCAGAGCTGCTCAGGAGAACGTTGTGACTATTTGAATTATGAATATTTTTAAAAATTTTGCTGGGCTGCCCTGTGGCTCACTCAGGAGAGTGCGGTGCTGATCACACCAAGGCCATGGGTTTGGATCCTATATAGGGATGGCCAGTTAGCTCACTGGCTGAACGTGGTGCTGACAACACCAAGTCAAGGGTTAAGATCCCCTTACCGGTCATCCTTTAAAAAAAAAAAATTGCTTTTCATTTGCAATAGATATTTTATGTATGTATGTGTGTATATTAATACATACACACACATGCATTTTTAAAAAACTAATAATATCTTGAATTATACACCATAGTCTTAACATTGATTATCATTGATTATCTTAACATTATCTCTGGGGGAAGAAATTTTAGTGTTTTTTTTCAATTTCTCATATGTAACTGGTACATCAAATTTGTAAGACATGCTTCATGTGATCAAAAGACAGCTTCACTCCTTTCTTAGCTCCCAACCTCCACTGCATATTAGAATCACCTGGGAGCATTAGCCAAGCCCACTGCCTGGGCCCCACTTCCAGAGACTCTGATGTATCAGGTCTGGGTGGGGCCCAGGCATCAGAATTTTTGAAAAGCTTCCAGGTGATTCTAATGTGCGGCCAGGGCCAAGAACCATAGTTCTAGACTAAATAAGACGTCAGGAGGCTCTATGACTTACTGGTCACACACGGGTAATAAGGAGTCACTTTAGCCTCTCAGTCTCAGTGGAGGAATTTCAATGTACAGTCCAGGCAATAATCCCACTTTCTAGTTCCTTTCAAACTAGAGCTCTTGCCCTCCCCAACTTGGGCCTGCTTGCTGGGCCTGGGCTCCCACAGTGGGAACTGAGGATTGCCAGGATTCTCTGCTGGTTTCCACCTATCTCTCCCTCACTGGGTGGTCTCAGGCTGCTGCAGGAAGAGAGGGGATGAGGGAGAAAGGCTCTGCACGTGTGCTTCTGTTGGGGAGATGTTGTCAGGGTGCTGCATTGCAGCAGCGAGTCATGAGCAGATTCTTTCTCTTCTGGGGCATTCCCACAAGTGCCACACCCTCCTTGCTGAGCACCTCTTACCTGCAAGTCCCTCAGGTGGGCAAGTGCATTTCCTCTGGCCGTGGCCCCTCCCTGAGCTCCAGGGCAGGCAGCTCATGCTCAGCCGCATCCCCCTGAGATTCTCTCGCCCTTCCCACTGAGGCTCTTGGGCCAGCTCTCGTGGCCCACGTCTGGTCCATGGAAGACACACTTGCCCCCTCTGCCATGATAGACTCCAGGAGCACAGACACTCGCTTGGGTGCAGAAGTTTTAAATGAAGACACTCATGGCTCACCTCCCTCCCTCATACTAATCTCAGCCTCATGGGGTCCTGCTTGCATTTGAAATGTTGATGTGTTGTTCATCATTTTTCACATTATGATTTTTTAAAATATTGCATTAAGATATGATTTACATCGGTGACTCGGCACCGCTCTGTGCTTTGTCCTCAGCCTCACACTGTAACTTTAATCCCCTGCACCGTGGCCCCAAGGCCAAGGGACACAACTCAAGTCATCAAATGGTCCCATTGGAGTACTTGATACTTCACTGGAGGGGAGTGAAACCCCCACCCTTCCCCAACTGAGGAGGGTCTGCAGGAGACTCACAGTCCAACTCTATCCAGACACCCTCTCTCTCATTTCCAGCTCTTTTTCTCTTTCTTTGCAAAACCCGTGCTCTCTTGCCTTGCTTTGGAAGTTGGAACCTACTTTTCGCATCCTAATACATGAATTTTCTAATTGCTGTACTGTGTGTGTGTGTGTGTGTGTGTGTATGTGTATATATATATATATATATATATATATATCAAGCCACTGAAGTAGATTGAGCAGAGGAATGACAGTCAGATTTTTTTTTTCTTTTTTGTGACCGGTAATGGGATCGCAACCCTCAGTGTCGCGCCCGTACTGCGACCAGCAACGGGATCGTAACCCTTGGTGTTGCGCCCGCACCGCACTCAACCAGTGAGTGGACCGGTCTCTATATGGGATCCGAACCCTCGGCGGGAGCGCTGCCGCGCTCCCAAGTGCCGCACTTTACTAAGTGCGCCACCGGGCCGGCCCTGACAGTCAGATTTTAAAGAAACACAGTGCCTGGCACTTGGGAGGTCCTCAGTATGGCACACATTTGTCAAATGAGTCAATTAAACCCTCTTTTTATTGCTCTCATTACTGCATGTATACAGTGTCATTCAACTTAGTGTCTAGTAGTTAGCAGGCATTCAAAAAATATTTGCAAGATGAGTACATGTGAGGTAAATACAGGAAAATTTCCGCTGAGAAAAACAAACAAGAAAGAAAGAAGACATATTAGCTCCCAGTATCATTTATTCTTCTGACTTAATTCAATTTGAAGGCTAACTCACCTAAGGAGACCAACTACCCTGCTTATCCTGAGTTACTGCAGTTAACTGTCTCTATGGTTTGTCCCTCACCTTTGGTGAAGAAGGCACCTTTTAAAGCACAAAGCCCTTTGTTGGACGTACACCTGGTGCAGCTCATAGCTTCAACCATAAGAGCACCATGACCGCAAGCCCTGAGCTTCCTTTGGAAATAACCCTGGAGTGGGGAGAGTTTGTGATGTGTAGCCATTAGGAAGAGAAAATCCAAGTTGTCTTCCTTTGTGGTCTTTTCCCAGGAGCCAGAGAAGCAGCAATTATATGACATACCAGCCAGCCCCCAAAAGGCAGGATTCTATCCCCCGGCCAGCCAAGCAAGTGTAAGTATGAAAAGGTGGTGAGAGGCGTTGCTATGAAAACCTAAAAATCCTCTGCGAAATTTCATTAGCTTGGTCAACAATCAAAATGCAAATTCTTTGTAACAGACTTAATTGCATTTAAAGCAAAATCCCTAATTGCACTGGTGTTCAGGAATAGGACTAGCCATGTGGTTTGGGATAAGCCATGTAACCTTTCCATGCCTCAGTTTCTTATTACAGATGTATTGAGAGTTTTAAGTGAGATAATCCCTGCAAAGAACCTGGTACAGTGCCTGGCACAGAGCAAGAGCTCAGCAAACGTTATTTTTCCTCCCCTCCTTCTCTTCTTCTTTTTTGTGAGCTCAGAAAACATTAGATGATTACTTATGATAGACCACAGAAACATGTTCTGTTAAAGTAGGCTTTTATTTGTATATGGGGGTAATAGCTTAATTTGAAATCTGTGTAATCCATGTTTATCATTGGATTCTACCACATGCGTCCCACAGATACATTTATGTCCACAGTTATTAGGGAACTGCTTACAAAAGCGAGGGCACTTTAGCAGTGTCATGAGGGGTGCATAGGAGTTTGTTAGATGGAATTGAAAGGTTTGGAAGGACCAGTTGGGGCAATGTTAAATACAGCGGTATAAATAAGCATACTGGGTTCAGGGAAAGGTAAACAGTCTAGGTGGCTGGACCTACAGGGAGGGTGGCGGCAGACATGGAGGGGACTGCATGGTGGAAGTGGCCAGAAAGGAGGCTCAGAAGGCGGTGCAGCCAGATGGTGAAGGGTCTTGAGCGATAACAGCAGTGGGGAACTTAACCAAAGGAGCTTGAGCAGGAGAGTGACTGATGATCAGGTTTTTAAGAAGCACAGTGCCTGGCATTTGGCAGGTCCTTGCTGTGATACACCTTTGTCAGGTAAGTCACTCAAACTGTTTTTGTTGCTACTAACCTGGTAACTTATGTGGTTCTTCCCCAGGGGCAGAGTGTTCCCCTGACATCAACGATTTCCTTCAGTAGAGGCAGCTACAGCACGTTGCCAAATCCTCAGAAATCAGAGTGGATTTATGACACTCCAGTGTCTCTGGGAAAGGCCAATGTCAGAAATACATCTCTAACCAGCTTTGTGGAAGAATCGGGGTCACATGCTGTCCCCAGGTCTATCTCCACTTTCCACAATCCTACAAGCAGGAGAGCCGAGTCCCTCCCTTCACAGCCCCATAACAATGTGCCCAGGCTGAAAAAACTCAGTCTTCCAGAAATCTCGTCTTATGGCTTTGCAGCACCCAGGGACATGTTCCCTTTGGATGAAGATGTCAGCTACAAGGTTCCTTCAAGCTTTCTGATTCCCCGAGTGGAACGGCAGAACACCAAGCCCAACATTTACGACATACCTAAAGCAATACCAAGTGTCCCTCACGCTGTGAAAGAGCTGGGAAAAGTCAATGAGGCTCCAGAGAATTCCATGAGCCATAATTCTTCATGGTGTTCCAGACAGACAACGAACTTCTCTCCTGAGCCAGACAGATTATCCATTTCCAGTTCCGACAGCAGAGCCAGCGTTGTGTCCTCGTGTTCCTCCATGTCCACTGACTCCTCCTCCAGTTCCTCCTCAGAAGAGTCTGCCAAGGAGCCCTCCCTGGATCTGGACTTGGCCAGAGAGACAGTAATGGCTCTGCAGCACAAGGTGGTGAGCTCTGCAGCAGGTCTGATGCTCTTTGTGAGTAGGAAGTGGAGGTTCAGAGACTGTCTGGAGGCCAATATTGATGCAATCCACAGAGCTGCCGACCACATAGAAGAGTCTGTACGAGAATTTCTGGAGTTTGCCCAAGGAGTCCGTGGGATCGCCTGCAACCTCACCAACAGCAACCTTCAGGCCAGAATTAGGGACCAGCTACAGACAATCTCCAACTCCTACCAGATCCTGCTTGAAACAAAGGAAAGCCTGGATAGATGCAATTGGTCCCTGGAAGTTCTTGTGACTGACAAAGTTCAAAACAGCTTGGATGACCTTGAGAGGTTTGTCACAGTGGCACGGATGATTCCAGAAGACATCAAGAGGTTTGCCTCCATTGTCATTGCCAATGGGAGGCTGCTTTTTAAGCAAAACTGTGAAAAAGAAGATTCTGTGCAATTGACCCCAAATAGAGAATTTAAGTGTGAAAAATTCATCCGGCTTCCCCAAAGAGAAATTGAATCACACCAAAGGACTACTCCTTTTAATAAACAAGGAGAACATGAACACTCCCCTGAATTATTAAAGAAAAATAGGACAAATATCTGTGGACAGGTGAGTTCAGAGTTCCAACTGGTATAACAAGGGGATTTAAATAATTACGTGGAGTGGTCACCACGGAGCTAGGTGCTGGTACTCTTTCAGTAGTGTGTTGGCTTTGGAGAGACAGTGGTTCCATTTTCTAGAAAATAAAATTCATGAAAGTAAAATTCTAGATGAAATCTTATTAGCAAGTAAGATACAGATTTTATTAATAAGGCAGACAGGTTAGCAAATTTGGATCTCTTCTGGAAAGTTTTGAGTTTCAGATTTACCTCTGATACTAGAATTAGAAAATATTTTAAAACTCACCACCAAGATTCCTTACGTTTTTGAAAGTTATACATTTAGTCATTGTTAGGCTGTTTCTTAGAAACAGAAGAGGAAGTATAAACATTCTTCCAAATTGTTCATTGTCTGGTCAGCCTCCAGACTTTAGTGACTCTTAGAAATACTTTGCTGGTTGAGTTCAGACATTATGGAAAGATAAGCTTTAGTTCAGGGATTGAAAGCCTCAGGAGGCCCAGCAGGTAACCTGGGGACTGTGTCAAGGAGATAATTTGGCACTTTCAGCCCCAGCCCTGGTGTTCTGCTGAAATGCCTCGTGGTGTAAGAGCTTTAACACATTCTAGAAATTTGGATATTTTTTTTTTCCTTTTTGTCTTTTTTCATGTCCGGCAATGGACCGCAACCCTCAGTGTTGCGCCTGTACCAGACCGGGACCGGCAACGGGATCGCAACCCTCGGTGTTGCTCCCGCACCTCGCTCAGCCAGTGAGTGGGAACCGGTCTGTATGTGGGATCCGAACCCTCGGCGGGAGCGCCACGGCGCTCCCAAGCGGCACACTGTAACAGTGCGCCACCGGGGCAGCCCCGAAATTTGGATATTTTTTTTTTCCTTTTTGTCTTTTTTCATGTCCGGCAATGGACCGCAACCCTCAGTGTTGCGCCTGTACCAGACCGGGACCGGCAACGGGATCGCAACCCTCGGTGTTGCTCCCGCACCTCGCTCAGCCAGTGAGTGGGAACCGGTCTGTATGTGGGATCCGAACCCTCGGCGGGAGCGCCACCGCGCTCCCAAGCGGCACACTGTAACAGTGCGCCACCGGGCCAGCCCCGAAATTTGGATATTTTTAATTAATTCACACACACATATGTATAATTTTTTTTAACTGTGTGGATTTTTAAAATTGTTAGCTGGCAAAATTCAGACCTTGGGCTTCCAAAGTCTCCTTTGGTGGAAAAAAGGCATCGGTAGGCAGGACCATCAACAAAAAATATAAAAAAGAGTGCTCAAGTTTTAAAGTAAACAGTTACATAGTAGTGTAAAAACCATTCAAGTTGGTAATTTGAAGGGATTTTATTTTACAGAAGTTGCCTAACCTGGAAGAGAATGAAAAACCCATCTTGGAACAAAGGTTAGATGAAAACAAAGACTTGGGAACAATGGTAAGCTTTCATGGACATTCTCCAGTACTTCTGTTTAACAGGCTTTATCCCTGAGATATTTCATCATGCTATGGATAATTCAACATTATAGCCATGACCCACATCGGGGAGGATTTGGGTTTTGTGGTGGTTTTCCTTTCTTTAGCTGTAGAAGGAAACCTGGAGATCAAGGATCCCGGTGAACCACAGGCTATGGACAGTGAACTATTAACCACCAGTGGAATGATTCTAAGGTGCTCTACAAGTTTATCGTGGGAGGCAGCGACATGGCATTAAATAGTAGTGACTCACCTTCCCTTTGACATCCTCTTTTAATGTTTCTGATGACGACAACAACATTTGGGTTTGGGGCTTGTATATCTTCAACACCTCTGTGGCACTTGATGTTCTTTTTTTAAATCAAAGATGTTATCATTGTGCTTATTTTTATTGGTTACATCTTGTTTGTGGCAATTTTCCATTTACCAATTTAAAAATTTCCTTTAAATTAATTTAGGCAAAAACAATGGGTTCATTTAAAGACAAAGTGGGAAGCCAGTAGAGGTTCAGAGGGAGCCAGAAAGAGTATAAGTTGTGGAGGTTGTGAAGGTTGTCTTTGAATAACTGACGCTTGGGGAACAGTGAACCAATTGTCCAATGACTTGGTCAAGGTCAAACGCCTTCTCAGAGGCAAACTAGGACAAGAACCCAGGCCTCCTGGTAGTCAGTTCCCCAAGCCCCAAACACTAAACTTTGGGCCTGCCATATTGCTGAAAGTCATGCTGTTTCACTCAACATGAAGTATGCCTTAAACCCGTGCTTCTCAAACTTGAGAGTGTATCACCTTCACTTAGAGGGCTTGTTAAAACTCAGATGCTGGGGGCCGGCCCGTGGCTCACTTGGGAGAGTGTGGTGCTGATAACACCAAGGCCCTGGGTTCGGATCCCATATAGGGATGGCCAGTTAGCTCATTGGGTGAGCGTGGTGCTGACAACACCAAGTCAAGGGTTAAGATCCCCTTACCGGTCATCATTTAAAAAAAAAAAAAAAAACTCGGATGCTGGGCCCCACCCCCAGAGTTTCTAATTCAGTAGATCTGAGGTAGAGCCTGATAACTTGCATTTCTAACAAATTTCCAGGTGATGTTTGTGCTGGTGGCCCAAGGGCCACACTTGGAAAGCTCCAGCTTTAGGGTGACATGCTTCTCAGTGGGAGTGAGCAAACAGTTCTCCATTGTGTAGGATGGACTGTTCAGTATCCCGAGACCCGTCAACTAGCTACCTACAGTAGTCCCTAGTCAATGTGAAAATCAAAACTATCTCCATACATTTCCAACCACTTAGGTGTTAATATTTTCAAGCTAAGATGTTGATAATCCCAGCCTGTTGCTTCTCCTTATTTCTAACCTCTGCTTTGTTCTTATCAGAGTCTCTGCTCCCAGAGAGCCCATCATAACTGACACCCCCATCTTCACTTTGTATTATAAAAAATAATCATTGTTTTCATTTTCTAAATATGAAATTCTAATAACAAATATAATTCTCCAAAGTACAAGGGTACTTCAAAAAGTTCATGGAAAATAGAACTGAGAGATAATACAAAACTTCCCCTGAACTTTTCGAAGGCCCCTCTTGTGTCTTCTTGTTCCTTGTCTGACTGCCACCCCCCCTCAGCAACCCTGCCAGCCACGGGGGACACATCCCCCTTCTGAAAAATCACTGTTTTCTGTCACATCTGTCTGAGTGTTTCTGGACGGTGAATTTTGAGATCATAGGTAAATGAGAGAGTGCAAAGTTGAATGGAAGGAAGGAGAGTTTCAGACTGAGCCTATTTGATTTAGAGCTCCAGATTTTTAATTTGCTAATTGAATGGCCCCAGGCAGCCTCTTCTCTGAGCTTCAGTTTCCTCACCTATAAAATAACAATAAATAAACTTTGATTGTTACCCAGAGTGGTCGCCACTAAGTTAGGTGCTGAAAAGCTTTCAACAGTGTATAGGCTTTGGTGAGACTTTGGTTCCATTTTCCAGAAAATAAAATTCATGAAAATAAAATTTCAATCAAACCATATTGGCAAATAAGATAAGTATTTTAATATTAAGGCAGATAGGTCAGTGTATTTGAGTCCTTCTGGAAAAGTTTGGGGTTCAGGTGCATACCTGATACTGGAATTAGGAAGAATTTTTAAATGTTTTAAATCTGTTCTTTGTGTAAACTTTTTAATCTCACTATCAAGTTCTCTTGCATTTTTGAAAGTTATAGATTCAGTCATTGTCACTGTGTCTCTTAGAATGAGTTTCTTATGGTTTATTAAGATGACTGAATAAAAGTATATATACTCATATGTATTACAATACATAATACAATATATATATATATACTATGTGACAGTGCTACAAAAATATTAACATTAATTTGCTAGACAAATGTTGTAGTATTGGGCTTCTCAAACAAAACTGTGCTTTGTCTTTTGAAAGGTCTTGCAAATTGAGCAAAAACAGGAAACGGCAGATAACTACAGCCTACTGATCAAATCTCTCTCTTATCTCTTTTCTCCTTTCCCTTCTCTAGACTTTTAGCACCCTTATACCCAAACCTTTGAGTCAGCAGACTCCTGAGAAGAAAATCCATCTTTCTGAACACTGCCGGCTCTATTTTGGGGCACTCTTCAAAGCCATCAGTGTATTTAACAGCAGCCTCAGCAACAGTCAGCCCCCAGAGGTCTTCATCAGCCAGAGCAAGCTAGTCATCATGGTGGGGCAGAAGCTGGTGGACACACTGTGCAAGGAGACTCAGGAGAGGGACGTGCGCAATGAGATCCTCCTCAGTAGCAGTCACCTCTGCAGCCTGCTCAAGGACCTTGCATTGGCCACCAAGAATGCGGTCCTCAAGTACCCGAGCCCTGCAGCCCTGGGGCACCTCCAGGATGAGGCTGAGAAGCTGGAGCAACACACGCGGCAATTCAGAGGGACATTGGAATGAGGCCCTGCTACCCCTCTCCTTCCTCTGTTAACCTGTTAGCTCCAGCTCCACACTCACAACTGAGCAACTCTGTCCTGTGGGAAAGGCCAGCTGGGGCACACACGGATGGGCTGAAACAGACATGATGCCCAAAGCTGATACAGTATTACCAAGTGGTTAAGCAACCTCAGGACATTGACTTACCCCACAGGGAGTCAGAAAGAGAGTCAGGTATTAAGTAAGAACCTTGCATAGTTTAGCTTATCATGCAGGATATGCAGTATCAGTGTTTGAAGCGATGTTGTAGACATTTTTTTTTTTTTTTTTGTGGCTGGTGGTACAGGGATCAAGCCCTGGACCTTGGTGTTATCAGCACCATGCTTTAACCAAGTGAGCTAAGCAGCCAGCCAAAATAATTTTTTATATTGGTTAAATGTATGCTTGTATTAAATTCATTCACTCAACACTTATTTATTGGGTGCCTACTATATTTCAAGTTCTAGGAGCTTAAATATAGCATATGTATCAGAGTTCCTGCCTTCTTGGAGCTTACAGTCTAGTAGGGAAGACAGACAATAAAGCAATGAAGAAATACACATACAATATATCAGGTGCTAGGGAGAAAATAAAGTAGATGAAGGAGAAGAGAGTTCGTTTTCAAATGATCAGTTTTTGTTGCATTTGTTAGAAAATGTAGTAAGTCTTTTCATTTTGGGTTGAAGTAATTCTGTGAGATAAGTACAAATTATATCTGTGGCCTGCACCAAAAAATACGTATTTTTGCTATATTATCTTAACCTAGTTAAAGATGCATGTTATATTTAATACATAACATGTTCGATTGGGCTCTCTATTAATTTATTTCATACATTACAGATTCTGTATTGATAAATTCTACTGCTCAATTAGAAAAAAATTTATACTTCCACAGTCCCAAGTCTGTTACAGTTTATAATATTATTTAAATATAATCATGAATTTCAACATCATTTGCAGCAATCCTTTCTTGGGATAAATCTTTGATCCATGTCATTCAAATTCTGGTACCAAAGTAAACCCTCTAGTGTTTACCTTTGTCATTCAAACATTTCTCTCTGAAGTCTGCAGGGAGATACAGTAAAGGTCAAGTTCTTGTGCACCACACTGGTGCTGGAAAACACCCCCATCAACTGTGGTGGTGCAGGCAGGAAAGTGTGGTGCAGACAGGATACCCATCACTGGGCACAGATATAGAAGTGGCGTGGAGCCCCCTTCAAGTCAAACCACCTCCTCTTCCTCTCCTTGCAGCTGAGTCTTTAGCTCTTGTTGCTATGGTTACACCATCACTTCACTTCAAGTAAAGGTCCATGTCTCCTGTATGCATCTCAGCCACGTAAACATTTTCACAGCCTGGAAACAGCATCTCCAGGCTGTAAGTCACCTGAAGTGGTATATGGTCCAGCTCCTACCTTCTACTCTGTACTTGGTAGGCACTTTAAAATGTTGACTGCTACAGGGCTGTTTATTTTTATTGAGTTAGTCTCAGGATCCTAAAAAGAATCCCATCTTTTTGAGGCTTGGTTCCCTACAGTTGGACAGAGAGACCCTGAAGGGACACATTCTTTGAACAACTGTGCTCTGTATCCATTAGGACTTCTATTACAGGTGATGGAAAACCACATCCAATCTGTCTTGGCAGTAAAGGAAATTTATTGACCCAAGTGTCTTAAAATAACCCAGGGGAAGATGAGCTGCAAAGCTGGCTGCTTTCAGAGGCTTCAATAGTGTCATCAAGAACAAGTTTTTTGGTTCCACATTCTCTGGGTTAACTCCCAAGATTGCAAAGTAGCTGTCCCAGGTTATGTCCTTCTTGATTTGTGACCAGAGAAGAAGAAAGAAACTTTATTGTCTTGAACTAGCTTCAATCAGGTGCCAGCCCCTGGAAGCTTGATGATGAGCAGGGCATATTCCCAAGTTGACCTAGACCTGGAATTGACACATGCACACACACACACGCACACACACACACTCTCTCTCTCACTCCCATGTGTCCTGAGAGAGGTAAAGGAATGGTTCTGTCAGGAACTGTAAAGAATCTAAAATTTTATCCTACTTCAAGTTAAAAAGGTGGTTTAATGGATACTAACAAAAGACACTAGATTCTGGGATCAGAGACTATGTCAGTGGTTCCCAAGACCACACCCAGGCCCAAGGAGTCACTATGAGGACTCACAGAACTCAGAATATAGTCTTACTCCCAGCTATGACTTATTACAAAGTAAAACCAGCAAAGAGAAAAGGCACATGTGTGAAGTGTAGGGGAGGCCAGGCACAAGCTTCCAAGAGTCCTCTCCAAGCAGAGTTATGGAGTTACACAGGACATGCTTAATTCCCCAGCAACAGGTTATAATAACATGTGTGAGATGTTGTCAACTGAGAAGTTCATGAGAACTTTACCACCCAGGGTTTTTATTGGGGGCTGATCACATAGGCAGCCTCTGTCTGGCACATACCAAATTTCCAGACTCCCAGAAGAAAAGCAGGTGTTCAGCATAAATCACATTGTATGTGCAAACAGTTTAGGTACCATGAGTCATTCTTATCAATTCTGGGGATGCTGAGATCCAAGTTCCCAAAGTTGATCTTGCAAGGAGGCCCTTGTAAGGATATTGGTCAGGCCTATTATGTTAGCTTTCTGCACGGAGACAAAGGACTCTTTCTCACAGCATTGCAAGCAGTTTACGCTTCATCTTCACGTCATTTCCCCATGTCCCCCAAGTCCCAGGGGCCAATGTAGAGGTGGGCTCAGGTAGATGCCGTGCACACATGGGTTTGTGTCAAAGCCAAGGAACCTCAGCATAGGAATCTCCAACCTATTATGACAGGATTTGACTAAACCTGGCCAACCTCTAAGGGAGACATCATCTCTATTATATTGGACAGCAAACAAACCTGCCCTCGGCTCTGAAGGGAGGCATTGTCTCCAAGGCTGTTGGGTACAAATCTTGAAAGATGGCCTAGAACAAATTGCTGCCAGTGCCTCTGCTCAGAAGACCCATGGAGAACTGTCTCCCAACAGAATCCCCTAGCAAAAGCCTGAAATGTTGTTGGAAGAAGGAGGGATTGTTGCAAGGAGGCAAATAACAAATTTTGATTGCAGTGGACAAAATGTTTTACACAATAATAACAGCAGCACATATTTATTAGATAATTACTACATTACTACTAAAGCACTAATCTAATGTTTTAACTCAGTCTTTCACAAGTGAGTCTTTCATAGTGTTCTAATAGGTGACAGATGGGTCTTACTTTTTCTTTTTTTGAGATGAGTTCAAACTGAGGACCTTTGTCGACAAAGTACAAAACCATTGGGTGCAAAATAATAAAAAATGCTGCTCTTAGCTAAATGTGTTTCCTTCCTTTTTTTGAAAGAGAGCAATTCTAGGGTAAGTTTCCACTGATTAATTCAATATGATGACTACTACTGGAAAAAAAATTTTAATGGAATTAAATTTTTTTAGCTTTTGGCAACTTTTTGCTAAGTATTTTTGTTTAATGCCCAGAATTCTGTACCATTTCCTCCCAAGGAAGGAAGAGGAAATGGGGGGTGCTGTGGTGGTAGGGGTGGTGGCAGCAACTTGACCTCAATTAGGTTAAATTTCATCAGGAGGATGGAAGTGGTGAGGAGCCCATTTAAGAGATCTTCTAGTGTGACAAGAGCTGGGGAATCATGTTTCTGGTTTGATCGTAACTATATTTTTTATTAAAAAATATTTTTTTTAATTGTATGTTTTCCCTGAAGGTGCCCTCCAGGTGCGTGCTTCTGTATGCACTCATAATGAGGTGGCTCGAAGCTCTTCACAAATGCCCTTTTCCTTTCATTCATTCTTTAACAAATATTTATGGAGCATCTCCCATTTGCCCAGGCCTCTGCTGATCACTAGAGAGCTGCAGGGAACAAAACAAGGCTCTGCAGCACGGTGCTTTCATTCCATCTGTGGAAGATGGGAAACCAGCGCCAGGATGAGGGCACTCTCACAGGATGCAAATTGCAAGGGGACGCTCAAAACACTTAGTTATCAAGATAAAAATATTTTGATGCAATATTTTTTAAGAAATCAAAATCGATGCAAAAAATCCCCGGGGAACACGATATCAAAATTTGTTGGGCCCATTTTTAGGAGCAAACATTATCTGTGAGCCACATGGTGCCTATGGGTGGAGGATTAAGATGGCACCCACGGGAAGTAGGGGAGGCATAACCCAAGATAGCTCCAAAAAGTTTTCATTGGTCCTCCAGTATTTCCGCACTCGTGAAACCTGCGTGATCGCTATGCTCAACATGTTAGTACAAAATGCATGCCCGCGTGATCCTTTCATAGTTCATGGAAAGCCCCTACTTGCTTGCTTATATAAATTGCAGTGTTATGGCAATAAAGTGGAACTGCCCTGACAGAACCCCTGCCACGTCTGGGTGTCTCTTTCACGGGGCTGGGTTGGCAGGCAGCAGGCTCACTTTTCCCCGAGATCCCTCGGTCCCAACACCGGGAGTAATCCTGCCGGCCCCTTCTCCTTCTGGGTCTGCGGGAGGACCCCAGGCGCGCCCCACAAAAATTTAAATGTATAACATGATGTCAGGGATGGTAAATGCAATGAAGAAAATAAAGCATGGTAGAAGGTAGCATGATGGGGGAGAGTCCGGTCTTACATGCAGAGCTTAGGGGAGACGACTCCGAGGAGGGAACCAAGGACTAGAATGCTGAATCACTAAGGAAAAGAGTGTCCCTGGAGAGGGATCAGCAAGTCATGAGTCTAGAGGTGGGAGATTAGGGTGGCCAGTGTGGCTGGAACCAGAAAGGGAAAGAAGTGGCCAACAAGAGCTGTGAGGGGTAGCCAGGGACAAATTCACATAAGGCCTGTATATTCCTCAAATATTTCAAATATTTCCCCAAAACTGAAAATTAAAAGTAATTTTTGTCTTGAATTATCTCAGTAATCAACCTAATTTTCTACTTTATTTTAACCTTCTTTGGGACTCCCTT